GCAGACACCTTAAAAATTGGGGTAAAAGAAACCAGGATGCTGGTAATTTACAATAGGACTGTAATATACAGAAATGTTTATTTTCATAGAGATCCCAATTTGAACTCAGTTATTAAAGCTGATTGCTGCTGATTTTCTAAAAGACTCGGTCAACGAGTATCAATGAAACTACAAGATTGCTGGTTCTTTACAAGATAAGACATTCTAAACTTCCCTGGAAATCATGAGAACAAGAGGGCCAGAAAGAAATGCATTTTTTCTGATTCTGTAAGTTGCGCAAGGATCGCAAAATGGTACAATTTAGAATACCTGACAATGTCAATGCTCTATAAGAAATTATGGTATCAATATCAGATCATTTTTGCGACTGAAGGCAACGTCTTTAGAAGTGATGGAGAAGGCCGTCGCACAGTGTGATTGAGCAGGATCATGAATGTTAAAAGAGTCAAAGCTCCTGCTTGATGAGCAGTTCCTAGAGAAACTGGGACATAGGAAAGAAGAGTAGATATGCCCAACGTTACCTGCATTTGAAATAAAAGATGATTCAACCACAACTTACCGTCTAATGGTACCAGTGAGAGTCTTCCACACAATTGGTGTGCGTTCAATTCTCACTATCGTTTCCCACCTTATGTGATAAAAATTATTATATTATATTTGTTTTAAAAACAAGAAATAGCCATTGGGGAATATTCTCGATAATGCAAGGCTAATACCTGCAGAGCAGCCATGCCCATGGTGCTTCCGATTAAGTGTCGGACAGCAGGATGCATATCCAGCTTCCTGGTTGACCACCATAACCCACCTATTGCAGCTAAAGTAGCAGCGGCAAGTATACGATGATCAAGCTGCAAAGACAAGAGTGAAATTCGTCATAAAGAACATGTGTCTAGAAGTTTTCGCATTCAGAAAAAATGTAAACTGGCATTCTAATCATAGTTTTCTGCCTGTTGCTTTTTATTTTTATTTTGACAAGGCAATGTTCTGCTATTGTGGCAAGTGCCTATAACAAGTCTGGCTCAATGTCCAGAAACTTAAACTTTGTCGATCTCGATCTCGATCTCGAGA